GGACTTGTGCTTCTTCAGCAGCTGCGTGATTTTCTCGTCGTCCGAGTTGGGGTCCAGGGGCTTGTTGTAATCGTCGTCCTCCTCTTCGTTCTCCGACGCCCCCTTGAGCCGCTCGGTCTCCGAGTCCTGCTTCTTCTTGGCTGTGGCCATCTCGGCCGCGTGCTTCTTCCTCCACTTGGTGCGGCGGTTCTGGAACCATACCTGGGGGCCGCGAAAGGGGGAGGCAGAGCGGACACAGGGACGGGGATGGGTGGGTGGACGGTTAACTCCAACAGACTCCAGCCAGGCTGCCACTCCCACGTCCCTAAGTCGCTCCTGCGGGGACCCCACCCCCACCTCCCACCCCGACTGCCTGCCACCCTCCCTCCCGGACCTCCCTTGTTTGATCCGTCAAAGTCAGTCTCCCTCGCCCCGAGCTCCTCTGACTAACAAGCACCAACAGACAGACTGCCGTTGCCATAGCGACAGGAACACAAGGGTATTGAGGTTGTCAGTGAGCGATTTCTCCGTAGAGTAAAAACAAAACTAGGAAACTTGAAAATGAGTCTTCCTAAAAACAAGCCCGCTTTTCTTATATTCTAGTTTGAAGTAGAAAACTTTCCTCACTTCCAACAGTTGTCCCCTTTGGCTGTGATTTTACTTATTTACTTTCTTGAATTAAGGAACTCCAGGCCATCTGTAGTTGCTTTTTCGTGTGATCTGGGGGGAGTGAAGGGGGGAGAAAAGACATTGATCTGCCCCAAATCTCTCTGTTCTCTTTGGCACTTTTAGAAGTCGTCTGTTTTGCTTATCTCAGACTTGAATACACATAAGCATGGTAGATAACGTTCCCTCCCCCACCAGCACGCGCTGCAATGCGAGGTGCTGTAAATTGTGAGGGGTCTGCTAACACACAAACCCTGGCTCACTAACAATCGCCAAGACAAGCGCGAGGAAATAGTGAGCATTTCCATGAAAATCATCCCTGTAATTTGTCTCTCTCTAGGTTACTGTTTCTCATAAAGCCAAAGCGAAGACTAGCATTGTCATCAGAAGCTGTTTGTAAAAGGTTCGATTTTATCAGTTGCAGATCTTTTCATTTATTCGCAGGCCAATTCTTTTCAATATTACTTTAATGTTGTTCCTTCATAATTCATTTTATACATGAATGTGGTTTACGCCCCGTCCTGTTTGACACCACATTTGATAACGCATATTTTAACCTAAAGCTTCAGCAATAAGCAGAGTCCCCCAAATATGGAACAATTCTCTTTAATGTTTCTGCACTGTCCTGTAGTTTATCTGGAGAATTGGAGTTGCTCCAGTGAATCTGAGTTTCTTTACCCAACTATAATCATTCACTTTTAGACATTCAGACATATTTACATGACAAATGAAGACCTCCAGGATACTATGGCGGCCCTCTACCAACTTCCTGCAGGAATCGAATAACTGTAACTGTGAGAGTAGTCTAACGGGTCACATTCAATATCACTCCTGAAATGTGGTTTATGATGCTTGCCCAGGAGGAAATAACACTCTACCAGTAGACATGGCTAATGCTATGACTACTTAAATGAAAGAGCAACAATATAAGTAATGAAAATGGACATGCACAGGCTCCTAAAGAAACAAATAAAATTAACTGAAAGGAAGGACAAAGGAGAGAAATGGAAATATAGGAAGTCATTAGATTTCCTTAAGCCAGCTGGCTCAATCTATTTTTCAGGGGGCGGGGGTGGTGGTGGTGGGAGTGCCTAAAAATTTGATTCCCTGGATATTAACTTTACAACTCAATTATGAGCCAAAATATTTTCATTATAAATTGCCATAAAATAGCAAAATAGCCTCTATCTGTTGATAAACTTATTTGTAGACACCAATTCGATAACGGAATGATGCTATTGGTTCCTGAAGAAAGTTACTCTTCCAAGGCGATTGCCTTCAGCGAAGCTGAAAGTAGGTTCACCAGTGGAAATGGCTGGATTCCGTGTTCTTATTTTCTTTAAAACCAGCTATATGAAAGGATAACCTAGAGCCGAGACACACTAGAAGGGCCCTCTACATTAGGAAACTATATATAATTAGTGGGACCTGAATTGCCAAACACAACGTTGGATATCTCTATAAGAGTAAACAGAAACTGTCTATCGGCTGGGATCTATGTTCAGGGCTAAAATTTCCGTGATGCCTTTATTCTCTGATAATAGCGAGTTCCCCTAGCACATGCCACTATCTAGATCAACCTAATTTCAAGCCGGGAGCTAGGGGTGGGGGCGTTGATTTCTTTTGTTCATCAACAGTTTACCCACCCGAAGCTCCCTAGGTCCTTTGTAAGCCTCCCTCCCTCCCCAACCCTCACCCCCCCTACTTAGGGCTCAACTTCTCACCAGGCTGCCCACCCAGAAGCCTGGCCCTCGAGATATGTGTGTGTGTGTGTGCGCGCGCGCGCGCGCGGGCGCAGCATGTAAGGCTTGATCCCCGAAGGTTTTCGAGGCCCGCTCACCTTGACCTGACTCTCAGTCATGCCCAATGAATAGGCCAAGCGAGCCCTCTCTGGCCCCGCCAAGTATTTGGTTTGTTCGAACGTCTTCTCCAGGGCGAAGATCTGCTGGCCAGAGAACGTGGGTCTGGTGTGTTTTCTCTTACCGTCTTTGTCCAACAAAATGGATCCTTGATCTACGAAAAACGATAAACAAGCGGAGAGAAGAGAAGGCTATTAAAATCAGAACCTTTTCAGAGAAAGGAACATGAAACACCATGGGCATGCGGAGGAAGAAAGGCTGAGTTCAGTTCCAGAAGGAAGGCAAGAGAGTACATACAGGTGCTTCTAGCCCTGGGCGGGCCTTTTTTTTTTTTTTTTAATGCCCATCTGTTTAAAAATAGCTGGAGGTGTTTGCAGCAGTGGTAAGTAACCTGCCCAGCACAGACATCTAACAGTGAGGGGAGTTATCCCTAAAGTTTGCAGTAATCAAGTCACCAGGCTTGACATTCTGGAGGGTGAGAACCTCTACTGGGTGCTCTCTTGGCCCCGAAGTTTGCATTCGGGTGACTAGGGTGTTTGGAGTTTTTTGTTTTGTTTTGTTTTCCTAAACGTTTCCCTAACGTGTGTCTAGGAAGTGCTAGGGAAACAAAAGATGCCTTGTTTTTGCTCCCAGGAGCCCTAACTCGCTAAGTCTAAAGCCCTTGCTCTCACGGCGAGAGGGAGGGGGCCACCGCCATTGTTGGCCCACCCTCGGCGGCCACCGAAGCGGATACAATAGGGTTTCCCCTACACCTGCACCCTCTAGGGCCGCCTCCCGCCCGCGGGTTTGACCCCGAAGCTTCCGCGAGCTCCCGCAAATTCCTGCAGTTGCTGGCACTCGGCTGCAGGAAAGCAGTCCCGGGACTTGGAAAGACTTCGGCGGCTACGTCAAAAGCGGAGAGCAGAGCGAATAAAGGACTTCGGGCTGGGCCCCGGAAGCCACCAGGCCAGCTGGGAGTCTGCCCCGCGCCTTGGCAAACGACCCCTTAGTCAGGAGTGGGGTAGAAGCAACTCAGTTTGCCTAAGGCCAGGTCGTGGCGGGAGTTAGCATTTTCCCCTGGGCCCCTGCCCTTTCTCCTCCCTCCTTCCCCTTCTCATACTAAAAAGTTGGAGGCCTGGTGTCCCTCTAGGTACCTACTCCCTCGGGCGGACTGTGGCTGTGGGAAAACTCGCTGAGGGCTCCTCCGGGGACGGCAAGTGGGTCGAGGGGGAAGAGGTAGTGGTGGGAATCCCAGAACCGAGGCGTGAATGCTCACTGTCTCTCCGGGTGGTGACGGGCTAGACGCCGCCGGGCCCCACCAATTTGCAGAGGCTCTAGGGCCGGCCTGCGGAGGCGAAGTGGGAGCCTTGCCCTGAGAACAGGAGGCGAGGAAAGCCCAGGGAGTCGGCGGGGGCGCAGCGGCCTCTCCACTCCTCACCTCCCTAAAAGGTCAAGATCCGCGGTCCCCGCCCGGCCAGTAGCCAGGGTTCTGGAGCAGACGCTCCCGGCGGTGCGTCCCACGCGGACACACGCACAGCACCCCGCCGAGCGTGCCCAGGCGCTGGGGTGCAGGAGAGCGCTCCGGTGGACCTGGTGCGCTCCGGGAAGCGAGAATCCCTCCCCAGGCCACTCTGGCCTGGCCAAACTACTGGGCT